TAAGAAAAAACTTTGATTTCCTATTATCTGAATTAAGTGGCAGACAGTTGTTTTCTGAATTTATAATTTTAACTGAAGTGTGGGTAGACGAAAATGAATTGGATTTATATAGCATTCCTGATTACATTAGTGTCATAAAACCAAATAACGATAATAGAGCTGGAGGTACAATAGTTTATATAAAATCATACATAGAATTAATTTCTTGTAATCCTGTAAATATTAAATCAGCTGATATATTGAAAGTTGAATTTAAATTCAACTCGGACATTTTTTGTATTTTAGCTGTATATAGATTGCATAGTTATCACAAAGAGTTATTTTTGGATGAAATAAGTGATTATTTTGAAAATTATCGTAATTATTTTAGATCAATGAAAAATATATTTTTCGCAGGGGATTTAAACTACAACATTCTAGAAAGCAATCAAATTGTTGATACTTATAACTCAATTTTGTCTTTAAATGGGTTTGAATGTTTATTAAGTGAGCCAACAAGAATTACAGACGACTCAAGTACTTGTATTGATCATTTATTTGCAAAGTTAGCGAGCAAACAATTGACTCAAGTTAATGTAGAGGTGATTCATGCCCATATCACGGATCATTCCATGATATTAGTTAAAGTGCACACGAGTGCTGGTGGAACAGACAGACGGACAGTTCTACCTGCCGTCTGTCCTGCCCTGCCCGCTTATCGTGTAGATTACACAAAACTTTCTACTATGCTTGATAACATAGACTGGGTCAATGTTTATTCCGAGCAAAATCCTTCTAAAGCATTTGACATATTTTATGATAAGCTTCAATTAGTTATTCAAGACAGTAAATACCAAATTGAAACAACAAGTAATCTGAAGGCAAATAAGATTAAACCCTGGATGAATGATTACATTTGTTTGAAGATTAAATTGAAAAATAAATTATACGATAAAATCAAAATTCATCCTACCAATAATAAACTAAGATCACATTTTAAAAAATTTAGAAACAAATTACAAGCTGAAATAAGAAATTTGAAAAATGGGTATTATGAAAAACTATTTAATCAATGTAATGGCGACTCCAAAAAAATGTGGAAGGTAGTAAATGATGTTACAGGACAAAATAGCAAGAGTACTGTGATTAGCAGTTTGAATATCAATGGTTGTATAGTTAACGATACTAAGACAATTTGTAATGAGTTTAATGATTTTTTCCTATCTGTTGTACATAAACTGAATATTCAAAAAGTTAAGCCAAATGAGTTCAGTGAATTATACTTTAAGAATTGCTTTGAAATAAAAAACACGTGTAATTCTATGTTTATTGATTACGTAACGCCAGAGGATTTGAGTAATGTTGTAAAGTCATTAAAACCTGGAACTTCTCCAGGTATTGATAATATAAGTTCATCATTATTTAAAAGAATGTTTCCTAATATATCTAGTGTGTTATTGTATTTAGTTAATTTAAGTTTTCAAGAAGGTGTGTTTCCTGATGCCTTAAAAATAGCTGTAGTGATACCTTTACATAAGAGTGGAGCAGTAAATGATTGTAATAATTTTAGACCAATTTCACTCCTACCAACTCTAGCTAAATTATTTGAAAAATTAATGAAAAAGAAACTTGTTAAATTCCTAGACCAATCAAAGTTTTTTAGTGAAAGGCAGTTTGGCTTTAGAGAGGGGTTGAACACTGAAACAGCTCTGAAAAATTTTATGGATAAAATATACACTGGATTAAACTGTGGGAAAAAAGTAAGTGGGATCTTCTTGGACATCAAAAAAGCATTCGACACAGTTGATCACCAAATTCTTTTAAGCAAACTCTTTAACTGTGGGATTAGGGGTAAAGTACATTCTTGGTTTAAATCTTACTTGGAAAATAGAAAGCAATGTGTTAAAGTTAAAAATACTTATAGTAATCTCGGTCTAATCACAAGTGGAGTACCGCAGGGCTCTGTCTTGGGAGCAATATTATTTTTAGTGTATATAAATGACCTATGCAATGCTAACTTAATTGGTGAGATAACATCATTCGCAGACGATACAGCTCTTTGTTATGTCAAAGATAGTTGGATAGATATAGAGCAAGCAATGTCGATGGATTTAAAAGCCCTTCAATGGTGGTTTTCAAATAACAACATGTTACTTAGTCCTGAAAAAACTAAGTTCATAAATTTTAGCCTAAGAAATGAAATAAAATTTAGTGACAATATCATTTATACATGTATTGACTGTTTATGTAATAGAACTCAGTGTTCTGTAAGTTGTGCTGTTGTTCGTCAGACAGACAGTATAAAATACTTAGGTATAACTCTAGATCAGGAGGTTAGTTGGAAAAAGCACATTCTTTTGTTGAAGAAAACATTGAATAATTCATTACGATATTTTTATTTTTTACGTTATTTGTGTTCTCAAAAGATTTTACGAGTCTTGTATTTTTCACTGATTAGTAGTAGGCTAAATTATGGATTATTCTGCTGGGGAGGAGCTTTTGACAGAACTTTAAAACCAATTTATATTTTGCAAAAGAAATTTGTAAGGATTATTAAACGTAAAAATCGAATGGAACCCTCATGGCCTGTATTTTTAGATCTAGGTATTCTTCCATTGAAACACATGTTTGTTTTTAAAGTTTTAAAGATTTTCTATGTTATGAGTGGTAACATACCTAAATTACAGAATCCGTATAAAGTTAAATTGAGGAAGCAAGAATCGCTAGCCGTTCCAAAACCTAATTTATCATTTTTTGTCAAAAGTTATTGTTTTCTAGGTCCAAAAATCTTCACTAAGCTTCCAGAAGCCATAGCAAATTCTAAAAACTTGTGTATATTTTTAAAGAAAACAAAAGCTTGGTTACTTGGCCATGAAAATATTAACTCAATTTTAAATATAGAGAAATAATTGTTCATTCTACATTGTTTTGGTTTAGAACACTATATGTTTTATTTAAATATTTTGATTTAGTTTGTATTTATTAGGTATAAGGGAGACCAACGTTTTTTTAAGTCAAGACTTATTTTAGAATGATACTCATTTGCGCATTAAATAGATTTATTGATATTGATGGAACCTCCACACAGGCTTTGCCTTGGAGGCCCTAGATATTTCTGAAATATTGCTTAACATGTGTGTACAGTAAAATTTTTTAGTTTATTTGTGTTATTAGAGTAAAGTATCACTTTCAACTTTTGAACAGGATCCTTTTTTTTACATTGAGGCTTATAGTTTAAATTATGGTTTGTATTCTAAGTTTATTTAATAGTGATTTTCATAACCTGTATATTCAGCTATTATTACTAACAAGTTATTAATGTAAAAACCTTTGTAAGATTACTTATAATAGCGTAATATATTATACTTTACGTTGATGATAGTGTACTGAGAACTGTGCTATGTATTGTTGTAACTGTAATTTTTCAGAAATAAAAAACATTCATTCATTCATTCATTCATTCATTCATTCATTCATTCATTCATTCAACATTTGTTGGGCAAACCATCATGAATTGTTTACGCCTTTATATTGTTTATGTATCAATAGTTCGTGGCCTTTGTTGGATTGTTGTATTGTGTTGTTTTGTTGTATGTTGGTAACGCATTAATGTCCTTATTTCTCAGTGTTTCACGGAATGGACAAGAGCACCTTTGATACTGAAAATGTCAACCGGAATAAAGTGTTAAATGGTGAGGTTGAGGTAGTACTTTAAATACGTTTAAGTTAACCGATGTGGAAAGTAACTTTCAATTATAGGCCTACTTTAGGGCTACGCTTCATGGATCTATAAAACATTTTTAAGTTTAATCATTGGACATATGGACCAACACGATCCGGGCGACATTTAATTGCGAAGCATTTATTTTGGCTTGAACTGTCAGATACTGTATTTGTGAAGGTTTATATATAATAGTTTTGCCAGCATATCTGCAAATATGCAAACTAATTGCTGCTCTTAATCTTAATATAAGAAGGTTTCAACTGACTACTATAAGATCCCCGTGCGTAGAACGGACACACAGCTAGTTTATTATATTATTATATTATTTATTTATATTATTTATTTATATTATTTATTATTATTATTTATTGGTTATTTGTGTAACTAGTGAGCAAAGTGAAAAATACTTACAATGTTGTTTCTCGAGTGAGGCAATCGCACTTTGCACTCGAGTTGCACATTATATTTTCCCTACAGTTACCATAAAACAAATAAATTGGTAAAGAAACGTAACATATTTTTACTCAGAAGTGAACTTTTAATATGACATTTAATGATACAACAGTAAAACAGCTGACCAGCTGATTTACAGCCAGTGCTGCCAACGTATTTTGCGCGCATACGACCTTGTCTGCATGCTACGCGCTCACTATTTCGTGCCTTCACGTTGCAAATCTGGAGTGAGACAAAGTAGTTAGAGTGAGACAATGTTAACATTGTCAGCCTACATTGTTAGGTAACTGTAGGAAAATACATTAAAAGCGTATATTTCTTTTTAGTTCTAATCACTGTTTAGGGTTACTATTTCAATAAACGTACCCTGTTTAAAATCATTTTAAACAGGGTAGGCCTACTATGGTATTTATTATTTCACTTGTATATATATGTATGTAAAAAAGGCCCTCTCATCTAAGCCGTCCCAGGCCCCCAACTGTGACAGTACGCCACTGTCAATAGTCAAAGGTTCTAGTAACACGTACACTGTCTGTTTTTCATTATGGATTGATGGTTAGTTATAAATTTACAAAAACCCATCTTTATAGCAATTTTACCCTAAGAATCAGATAAAAACGTCAGTTTGTTCATTTGTTGTTAATAGGCCTTGGCAAGTCAAAAGCACTTTGGGTAATGAGTTTTGGAAACAGGTTGAAACCGAACACAATAATCTATGTGCTTGATGTATTGGAGATTTGCTCATTGTTGTAAGCTTACTGCTAAATATCGTATAGGCTGTTTCTAACCAATGATAGTTTCATTTCTATGAAACATGTTATCTAGTTACGCTTCTTTTTTGTAGGGTTCGTCTAATTTCCCTGGCAGCTCAGAAGTTCATATCCGACATTGCCAATGATGCCCTCCAGCACTGCAAGGTGCGTAGTTCCAACCAAGCCTCCAAGACCAAGGGCAAGGACCGTAGGTACAACCTGACCATGGAGGACCTCACTCCCGCACTGGCCGAGTACGGCATCACCGTCCGTAAACCTCATTATTTCCCCTAACTAGTGTATATGTCTATCATACAGGTGTAAAAAATCTATTTCTTTGATTTTAAGTTGTGAATAAATTATTTAATTGTCATATTTGCAAGTTCCTGATTTCCACCTTCATTTCTAAAGGTATTTTCAGATTCATAATCTGTTCCTATAACTTGTAATACATTTAACTCTAGTGCTCTTGTCTATCTCTAACGTTAGAGCTTGCACGAGGTAATACCTACCCCATCAATTTTTATTCAATTTGATCATTTAAACAACAAGCAATATACTATGAACACATTACAAGCATTAATGTGAACTGTATATACTCTATTATGTAAAGAATCTCAATGGAACCGCTTGAGACCTACATGGATGTCTTTTTGTCTAGTTGCATCAATGGTCAAAGCCAATGTTTTTTTCCAGAATTATTAATTAGTTTATATAAATTTCTAAAATGGCCCCCAAATGAGCCATTAGTATTCTGTGCTGTTTGGCAGTTGAGATACACAAAAGTTGAGTGAGTGTTCACAAAAGTGTTGACAATTTGAATAGCCAAAGACTAGTTGGTTATCAAAGTAGGAATTTCATCTTCTGTATTTGGGGCAACTGCCCAATTTTCAATTTAAATAGAACAACATGTCATGTTGAATAAGCCACTCACATATTTTGCCACTGTCACTGTCTGAAATTAAATTCCATTTATTTATTTTTATTCATTTGGTCATGAGATAATGCCAAATAACAATATAGTTATCATACTTGTACCATTTTTGTTTCCCTGTTATAGTTGATGTGGCATAAACTATGACAAGGTGTAAAATAAGCTATCATTTCAATTAAGGCTTCTGATTAACTATTTGTCTTCGCTAGAGCCTATACCAATAAAGCCTACTGAGCATGGTAAATAAGAATACAATACACGAATACTTTATTTGCAATCTTAAAGATTGAAAGGGCGTCAATACAAGTTGTGTAGTTGTAATGCATACAAGTTGTTATTAAAAAAAAAAAAACCTGATTAGGGTCCTTGCAGAGTGAAGACATGATTTATTCAAGTTCTTGCCAAGACAAATATTCATCCAGACTATAAAATGGTCTATAACAGCCAGCACTTTAGTTCTTTCTTCAGTTTTCTGGGCTGAAGAGGCTTCAAGTGGACGGGAAGGGCGTTAAAAAACTTGGCACGCATGTATGAGGGTTTCTCTTCACAGAGCCTTGTGTTGTGAGCAGGAAGGTTGTAATAATTTCTTCGCCTTGTGTTGTATGAGTGCACTTCCTGGTGACGACAGGCCCGGGAAGAGTCGACAATGGTGAGAGTCCGTATTATGAAGAGGTTGACTACCTACATCAGGATTTTTAACTTCCTAAACTCTGGTCTGCAACTATCATCTGTTGTCTTAATGCCAGTCAGGGTTCGAACAGCCCTCTTTTGGCATGATTAGAACTCTGTTAAGGTTCTGTGCCGGTGATCCACCCCACACCACAATGCCATAGCAGAGAATACTCTCAAGAAGGGCATCTCCATCTATCCCTGTTGATGATTTAGGCTTGAGGTTGTGCATTGGAAACGCTACATTGAGTTTGTCAGTGTTAGAAACTCTGAACGATCAATTTTGCTTTTCAGTTTCCTGATTTTGGTTGTTCCTTATTGTTTCTTCAGCCAGAGTTGCGAAGTAGTGATTAAACAAATTGGCAACTTCAACAGGGTCCTCTACTTCGGTTTGCAGTTTGACTGAGTTCGAGGAAACATCACATCTGTTAGAGTTTTTTTCTGTAAATAGTTACCCCTCCTTTTGGAAGATTTTGGTGTGCAAAAGCTGATACTAAGCAGTAGCCCATAAGCCTGGTGTTGAGGATCTCATCCCGGTTCTTCCCGTGTTCAGTTAAGACAACCAAATCTGGCGAGTAAGTATGGAGCAGATGATTAAGCCTTTCAAGTTGGAGATTCTATCTACGTTTTGATGAAAAACCTTAAGTTTTCTATCCTTGTTGGTTATCGAGTTTTGATGTGGAGTTACCGTTCTTTAAACTTCCATCGACTTTTCCCGCTCTGACCTCGGTCTAAAAAACATCCCCCAGATGAAATCGAATACGAAGCTCTCTAAGGAGCAATTTCCTCCAAGTTTCCGAGAGGCTGATGAGAATATTGGCTCTCTGTCGTGAATGTGTCTGTGTTATCCGAGTTAGCACATTCTGGGTGTAAGCCTAGATCCTATGTCCTGTCTTAATAGGAAATAGAAATCTTAATAGGAATAGTGGTTGTTAAAAAAACCTTCCAAGCTTTCTTCCTTCCCTCTCACAGCAGTAAATATTGGAGGGGATTTGTTAAAATTTACTGTTGTAGACGTGTGTTGAGGTTTAGGGTTCAACCATAGACAAATGGTTCAACTCAGCTGCATTAAACCACTAGCAAGTGGAGTTGGCTTTCTTTTAGCGAATTTCCCATATAGGGAATAAGCTATTACCGTAGGTCTCATGGTAAGACCTAGACCCGGGACCGATTTACTTTTTCGTTTTGAGGTCACAATCCTACAACAAACAATCCTACTTTGACAGTTCCCTTTGCGAATCAGTTTTTTTTTTTGCTGCTTAGTTCAAATTAGCTGTTTTCATAAATGCAAAAAAATATATAGTGCTGCACCCTGTTGGTAAATCTTATAACTTTTTAATGCTTTTCCATATCATAGAACCAACTTTTTATTTGAAACAGCTGACTTAATTCTTTAATTCACTTTAAATATGAATATTCATAAGGTTAACATGGGGAATTACAGAGCCACTGGGGCGGAGCCCGAAAGGATTTTTGAGATAAGAATATGTCTATATGTTAATCGGGAATGTAAGCTATCATCATGCCAAATTTCAGCCCAATCCGTCCAGTGGTTTATGCGTGATTGAACTTCAAACAAACAAACAAACACACAAACTTTCACATTTATAATATTAGTAAGATTTATATATGTGTCCGTTAGCGCGATAACTCGAGCAAAATTGATCCGATTTTGATGAAATTTGGTACAAACGTGTAAACCTACATTTATTCGAACGAGTTCGCGAACCAGCATAATCGGACCATGGGATCAGGGGTTTATGGGGGGTTTTATGGGGTAAAAATGGGTTTTTCTCATTTTTGACCCTAAAAACTTTAAATTTCTAAATTTCTCTCTAGACCATTTTGAAGAGCTTAAAAAAACAAATAATTTAGTATATTGAAGTGTTTTGAATGTTCATTGACTACAGAGAAAATTTAAAAAATTGTAAATTTAAAATTCCCATGTTATTCTTAAGGAGAATAAATAAACTGTTCTAGTTTGCTTGTTAATGGATATATTTTAATCAAATTTGGCAATTTGGTTTATTTCATACTAAGCTATCAATATTTCAATTGAAAAAACACACCTCAACATCTTCCCCGTAGCAGCAAACCTAACTACTCACTAAAATTAATGTTATAGGAAATAAATCTGAAAATTTATAGGGAATATTTTAGTAGAAATCAAGCCGGGTAAATGGAAATTCGCTTAGTATGCAGGTCTGCTGCGACGGGGGTATTTGAGTCTTAGCAGAGAAACTTTCTTTGGGCCCACTCTTTAATTTATTAACACGCCCTGGAGTAGTAAGTAATATATAGCATTCTCTAGTTGTAGGCACTTATTTCTAAGTTAATTTAATTCGAAATCAGTACAGAAGTTTGTTCTCTAAAACAGTGACACCATCATTTCCGTCATCTTCTTTCTTCATTGGGACAACAGAGTTTCAATTCGAGAGTACCTTGATTTTTTTCCTTTTCCACATTTCGTATTTTACCTTCAAAATCATGAATTTGTTTTAACCAACTCAGTGTCGTTTTCCTCACTGCATTTTTGTACCGTAGCTGTTTAGAAATTACTAGCTGTATCCCGCGGGCTTTGCCCCGTTTAACTTCTTAATTTTCAAGATGATCTCGTTCGCATGGCTCAATCACGTTGTTTTATCTATGGTTACGTACATCTAACCACAGATAATATAACCCCTACTAGGGGTATAATAAACCTAGTAGGGGTTTATTATCTGTGATTTAACATAGTTTCTTTCATTGTTCTTCTGTGTTGTACTCACTGAGCTATAATTCTAACTGGAGGTAGCACTGAATGTCAAAGATGCGTGTCGCCAGCCGCCATGTTTGCGTGAGGTGGGTGTCCATAAGAAGCCATGTTATTGCTATGACAAAAAAACTCACTGCTATACAACCAAGTTATAAGAAGCCATGTTATTGCTATGGTAAGAAAACTTACTGCTATACCAACCTAACAAAATCAGCGACTCGCTTTTGACAGACTTCTGCCATGGCAGTGCTACCTCCAGTTATAATTTTAGCTCAGTGGTTGTACTACTTTTGCCAAGGCACCTGTGCCCCCCCCATTTGATTTTTTTGTTTATGCCTTATTTGTTATGTACTGTAATTTATCTTTGACTTGTGTTTTTGCAGCATGTATTCAACTTTTTTGACGTATCATAATGCATGTACATGTCTAATGGAATAAAATATTGATTCTGATTCTGAAAGCCACCGCTTCCGAGACACCCTCGTGGCTCGTGGTGCCCGGGATGGTCACCCCACTACGCCCTGTTAATTTGCATCTCATGTGATTTGTTGACTCCTTGTTAAATAAATAATATATGTAACTTAAATTTTAAATATAATTTCGTAGACAGTTGACTATAGCTCACCAGGATAACATGTATAATCATTGATAAACATATATGGGTGGTTGCAACAGTTATTTGATCGGCCAGCTGATTTTAGCAAACAAGTGCGCATGCCATAGTTTAGTTTCTTCTTTGGTTGATCACGTGACCTTTCGCGCAAGCGTTGGCAACACTAACACCGTCGTCATCCATATTGTATCCAACAGTGAAGAAGATTTGACTAACTTACCTATTTCAGTAAGTAATAGGTTTCACTGACATTAATTATAATATAATACCTATTGATATGAATGGACCAACGTAATAAAACTCAAAACACTAACTTATACGTTCAGTGAAGATATCTACTTAGTATTCAACTTCCTAAATGGCCCTTGCCACCTCGGCTGTCCAGTTTAGTGCCTACATTCACGATTTAAAGAGTTCATTACCAAATTAAAACGTGTCCTAAATTATCAAACGAATGGTTCTTCTCAAATATCAACTTGTATTAACTTAGTGTCAAAAATGAAGTCTTTGATACATTGTCGCCAAGAAAGAATGTCCTCTTCTTTGTTTACAACTTGGATTCCAGGACAGGGCTCCTGGAACAATGAGTAGGGCCTAACTTATAGGTCAATTGAGCCAAAAAGAAAATAAATCCATTAAATAGAAACATATCCTCCAGAGGCTAAATTTGTGATTTTGAATAATTGTGAAACCATATTTGTTTAAATGTTTACAATGCCACATCTTGTGCTTCAGTCCAAGCTTAAGTTAGCCTAGGGCTATGTATTGAAGCTGACCGCTGTAAAAAACATTAAACTTACAGTAAGTCATTTGGCTCTACCTAAAAAAAGCGTACTTTCCTATCCTATTCTAGGCCTAAGTTATACAGCTTAGTCTATGTTTATTTGTATAACTTAACTTATCTCAATTAAAAGTTAAACAATGTTTAAGACAAAACTTACCTAACTTAAGTTAGGCCTAAAACTTACCTATGCCCAGTTGTTGACAGAGAAATATGAAATGAGAAATCTAGCCTAGATGAGTTGTGAGGAATAGGCCCTAAGCTTACTACTCTATGTGTATCCTATAGGTCTAGCCTAAGCTATGACATATTATTAACTTAAATGCACATAAGTTATGAGGGTTTTTTTAAATGAAATTCGAAGGCTAGCTAGGCCTAGGGTCTGCATTTTACTTTAGGCCCTACACTCATTCGAATGAAACTATCATTCGATATATCGATTATTTTCATCCGGTTGTTTGTGTAGGACCTAAAGTAAAGTGCAGCCGGCCTAGGCCTGACTTAGTTGCTTGTTTTCTTTTTAGTTAGGTAGCTTACTTGTAAGTTAATAAGTTAGCCCTAGGCCTACTTGGAGTCTTCATCTTTGACCGACACTGCCATAGATTGATGGCATCAAAGAAATTTACAATAGCCTAAAACATAACTTATAGGCTAGGCCTATTTAGCCTACTTTAAGTTACCCAAGAAAAATACTTTATTTTAAGTACCGTATGTCATGATATATGTGTCCTTTGATTAAAAAGATACATAAGTAAGTTAGGCCTAGGCTAAGTTACTCACCAAGTTTTTCTTGGAATGATAACTTTTATTTATTTATTTATTTGTTAACGGTTGCACCATTTTTACATGAAAAAAAGAATAATAAAACTTTAAGTTAAGTGAGTGTCCTAAATTATTAATTTACTACCGGTAGGGCTCCGTCAACCTTTCTAAATTTAAGGTCCATGCACACTCGTATTTGCAGGGGTATTTTATAGTTTAGGATGATTCCATGGATACGGGTGTTACATTCACACATTCAAAATTGTTAAGATAGGTCTTGCATAATAGCCTACATTATGCTGAGTATGCTTAAACTTGTGTTTATTTGATATTTTTCGGGATATTAATTTTAAAAGTAGGTACATGTAGCGTTACTGGTGTTAACTTACCTAAACTGGACCATTGATATATGGCTGAGAAATCCATGATGTCGGTGAATACCAGGATAAAACTAATTTATTATTGTATAAAAAATGTTGTGGAGTAACAATACTCCAAGTTATACTTTAAATATGTCCATTGTAATTTTCTAGGCTTATCTTTAGTAATGGAATATAATTACAGTTTTCCTGTAGGCTTTTACAAACGTATTAGGCCTACACTAAATGTTATGGGTGTTACATCCAGGGTTGCCACCCGTCCCCGATTTTGCCGGGTCAGTCCCGATTTCTGTTCCTAATGCCCGTATTTAAGCCTATGTTAATCCGTGGGGAGGGGGGCCATGTCCCAATTTTTCCCTAACCTAAGATGGCAACCCTGGTTACATCGTTGAATCAAAACTGTGTTATCTGTATAAAAACTCGTTGATAATTAATTTTACAGAAAACAATCAATATAACTTAACTCATCTAGGTAAAGCTACATACCAAAGTTATGATAATTTATGTTCATAATTAGGCTAAGGGAGATAACACTTTTCTTATTCTTCATAACTTAAGAATAACATGGGGTCTGAGCATGCAGGTTTGCTGCTACTGGAACTATCGGCAAAAAAAATGGTTTTGTGCAAATATCAATAGACTACAACGATATAAAGATACCGTTACCAACTTTTTGCAGAATAAGTTGATAAATAAGCAAGATAACTTAAACAATATACAATTGTTTATCTTGTTTATAGTTTCAATTTAACTTTTGTTGTCAAACAGTCTCTTTGACATTGAATGACCCTTTAGTAATTTAGGTCAAGGTAGGTAAAAGATTAATAACTTATAGGATAACGTAAAGAGGGTTTGATCTAAGAATTTAACTTAATTAACCAACTAACCACAATAGTACTAAATTTTTCATTCATATGGACCAGCGCAGCACATATACAACGGCCGGTTTCTACCCATGGACTACCGTCGCATATATGCGACATCTGTTCACATTTAAATGCCTGACGTCGCATATTTGTGTTGGTGTCCAATGTTATTAAAAAGCTTAAATATCTTCGTAATGGTCTAAGTTATTTGAAGGCCCTAAATTCTCTGCAGTGATCTACAGGCATGTATGTTGAACAAGTTTGTCACTTGGTATGTGTATATGATGATTAGTGACGTCAATTGGCAAAACTGATTTTTACTTGGCTGCATCAAGGTTAGGGAAAAATCGGGACATGGCCCCCTCCGCATTGGATTAACATAGGCTTAAATAAGGAACCTAAAATAGGGACGGGTGGCAACCCTGCCGAGGTCTGCGAGTACCCTGTTAATCTTTAAGTGACACCCGGTCTATGTATAATATTAAAATGTACACCTTGGGCCGTGGCAATGACCGCAGCGTTGCAAACATGTGGAGATTGGTAAATTAGCGAACGTTTTACTTTAAAGATTGCCATAAGATGATCAGAGTGAAACTCGAAAGAAACTTAAGTTACTACACTTTTAAAAATGCTGTGCATAGCATTTGTGTGACTGGTTCAAACAGCACTTGTTTCTTAAGGCCGGCCGCACACTGATCAGACAAAACGTCTTTTGTCAAAACGTTTTGTCGGTAGACGTCTTGTCGGAAAACAAAAATGTCGCATTGGTGTGCGGTTGTCTCAGAGAAAAGACAAAAACAGGAGGGAAAACTAAATTCATTCAGCAGTAGACCAGTGTTGTGTAAAGCCAGATATTGTGTGGTGTTAATAAAATGGATGAGGAAGTGGACGTAGCAATTATGTTGTGGAACTTTATACAACTTGCAAAACTAAACGAAGGAAGGGAGCATAAATTTTATGTATTTTCTGCATAAATCTAAAATGAACGACTACTAACTGTAAGGAAAATTATTAAAAAATAAGGAATTAGCTGAAACATTTGAAATTTAAATAACATTTTTTTTATTATTTTCTGCATAAATTGAAAATGAACATCTACTAACTGTAAGAAAAATTACCACAATATATAGATAAGTTGTACTGTATCCGCCCTCCGCGCTTGCGCAGAACTGTTTGTCTGATGGCGTTTTGGCTTCAGACAAAATATTGGAGGCGATCACAAAAACACCCAAAAACGTCTTCAGACAAAACAACGCGTCTGAAGCCTCTGTCGCATCAGTGTGCGATGCCTCCATTTAACTGCATGGTAGGCCACTCCCTTCCGACGTCTTTCAACAAAACGTTCTGTCGAAAGACGTTTTGTCACATCAGTGTGCGGCCGGCCTAAGGCTGGTTCATTATCTAAGCTATTATCAGTCGCATATACTACTCGCCAGCAAAATTAAATCTGAAATTTGTATCTGACAACATGGTGATTGGTAGTGGCTAGTAACTTAAGAGTTTGACAATTCGTTTGTGTTTTAACTTAATTAATATTTGTGCTGTAAAAAATTTCGTCTAGGAATAAGGTGAGAGACTTTGAGATGTGTTTAGTGTATCTAGGTACGGTACTTTGTGAGAAATTAAGAGATAAGTTAAGGAATAAAAATCATCAGTGGATTCAGGAGTGGATAGAGAAAATCATTATGAGATTAACATTTCCAAAGTTTGAGGAGTTAGGATATTATAAACTATATCACCATTAAAAAAGAAAGAAAAATACACACCGAAGGCTAGGTAATTCCATGCCGGACCAAACTTGAAATAACTTTGAGGTACCGGTATGGCGAGTAGAGACTCCCTAAAATCACTCTAATACTGTAGGCCTACCTTAAGAGGGCTACATAGGGTAATATAATTTCTGCAAGAATCACATGACTCTCAAGAATGGCTACTAGTGACTACTCGCCACATATGTTGAACATGTCCGAATTTCTGCTTGAATGAGTTTTTACACTGCATCTGTTGCTAGTCACCGCTACTTCCTGTTCTCACATAGCAATTAGTAGCCGCCACTCTAGTCGCAGCGAGTGAAATGGCCATGTGTGAACTAGCCTCTACTGCTACGTTCCTAGCATGAGGGGATTAAAGAGCTCAATGTTAGGTTGTACTCAATTAGCTAGTCCAGTAATGACTGGGCAATTTTGCTGTTACAAATTGGAAAATGGGCATTTTTTTAATCAAACTACATTTCTTAGAAACATAAGATAAACTAACTGTTTTATCTATAAAAAATACTAAAGACCATAATTAATGGAAATGCAATATAGCCTACTGAAATAATAGGAAATCCACTCATTGGCCAGTTGAATTCAAATATGGACAATTCACACTATTTTGAAACTCCAATTGCAAAAAACTTGCATTGCTGCTGTAATTAATTGTAGGCCTATTGGACAATGGACATGTGGCAGAAAAACTGACAACATAGCGGGACTTCCCTAAAGTCATATGACCCAGTTTGAACTAGAACAACTATAGAGGAATAGATTACAGAATAGGACCGGAACCAGTTCGAGTCGGGTGGGGTGAGGGTAAGCGGTATCCAATAAGCTTTCAGAAAACTGTCCACTGTTGCCAAGTTGTGCCACACACTTAGTCTTTGCCCGACAGCCGACCTGTGCGTTTCGAGCATATCCTCTTGTTTGGTCAAGAAATTGCCTTAAAGTGTGTTAATAATTCGAAACAGGCCAGTAACAAAGCTACAAAAGGCATCTCACTCCATTCTACACTCATATTTAGGTTAAAATACGCCCATAGGTGGCGTCCCCAACTCAAATGAATAATTAATATGGTAGATTGTATCCTCTTCATTTCCATGTTGATTTTGTTTCATGTATCAAACAATAAGCTGAGCAATATCTTAGAAGATGTTTAGAACTGCTATTCAAATTGTTTGGTCATATAAATTTACTGTCAAATTTATTAATTTTATGTTTATATATTTTTCAAAAACTGCATCTGGTAGCTGTTTGAGTCATTTTAAAGACAATTGTGTAGAAAATAATCAAACCATAATAATGTATGGGATGAATTTTGTGTTCCATACGATATAAAAATATAACAATACTAACCAATACAACCAAGATCAAATAAATTATTAATTTGTAATGTTGAACTGAACTACCCTACAAGTGGGACGATAGAGGGGGGTGCCGGGCTCTAGGTGAAAGTCAGCTCACCGGCCAAGAACGAAGTGGCAACGTCGCATCCCCTACCTCTTCAAAGGCCAGTCCTATTCTGTAATCTATTCCACTATAAGTTATGGTCTGGATGTCTAATACTACTGAGCAGGTTGTGCAATACAGTAGAACCCCTCATATCCGGCCTTGGTTTTACCGGTCCTCTGTTTATCCGGCCCCTTCCAGGAAGCCAATATCAAAATTTTTTTCTCACACCTTACAGACGTTTAGATACAAGCACTAGTCTTTGTGACTGCTCAAGTCATAAAATAAATTGTTCTCATTATTTATCTGTTTGTTTATACATTTATTTGCTGAGTTGAGCTAGTAGGCCTAACCTCTGATCAGTTGGCTGATTATTTCCAAAGTGGATTTAGTACAGTACAGTACGAGTACATTAATTTTTGTATTTCACAAAATGGTTAAGAATGTTGAGTAGAAATGCAAGTACCATTTAAGTCCTAATGATCTTTAAGTACAATTTATTGTCATTTTAACCTCCATTTAATATGTTTTGTTACCTGGAATCATAATATTTGTACATTCATTACTTACAGTAATGACTTTAACCTACAAATATTTTTTTTCCTTTTTACAGACATGTTTGTTTTTCTAAAAATGATCCCAGAACACAATTAAATGATACTTTTGATTGCATATATTGATTACCTATTATTATTAGGTATGAATTGTCATTTTCATAGTAGGTTGGTTTATCCGGCCAAATCGTTATCCGGCCAGGGGCTTGGTCCCGTGGTGGCCGGATATGAGGGGTTCTACTGTAGTTTGTGGGTAGAGAAATCTTTCTTTAAATTAACATCGACTGAGTAGGCCTATATTGTCTGACCTTGGCTCTGATTTTAGGGCAAACAATAGACCAACATGAAGGAAAACTGATGTCAGGGGACACTTGACAAAGAACCCTTGGCTAACGCGAACATTTAAGTAATCCGGGGGATATCATTGGGTAGTCTTTCCGGAAAGACTCTCTTTGATCTACCAGCTGGTGATTCCAAATACAATGACGTGTTCAGACACACACTAACTTTGGTATTAAGAGAAAACTTCTCTTTGACAAAAGATCTCTTGTTAGGATTAGGGCCTATATAGGTGTATAAGTTTTTGCTCTTTAAAAAAATAAGTCTTTAAATTAGGCTATACTTAAAAAAGTTTCAAAATTAAGTTCTAACTGTGGAACCTATGTTGCAGGATTTCTGAAGAAAATGGCGATGGATTCCATGAAATTTGGCCCAGAGTGGTAGGTTACATTCTTAATTCTCTTAACAAAATTAGATGTTAGATTGTGAAGTTTACATAGAGTTTCTATATAATCCTAGGGCATCATGTTTGGCTGCTCTTATGGCTTGCGCCCGCGACTGTGCAAGTCGCCTGGTGTTATTTGGTAGAGCGATTACTGTGGCTTGAGTAGGCGTCTGCAGTTCTTTTACTTAAGCTTTAAAAGCGTAACCTATAGGCTACGTTTAACCCTACAGTGCTCATGCCTTCCTAAACAGTGTAAATTACATACTCATGTGAAAAAGATGAGCTATTTATTCTACTTGTTTTAATATGACACAAGAGGTTCTACCCGCAAATTCACGGGCGTACAGAAGCCACCATTAAATTATTTTAATCAACTTTGACTTTATATTTCATTTAAAGGGCCCAAGTTCGAGGAATTCTCATCTGAAAGGATGTTAAAAGCAGTGAAACCTTTATACCTTACATCCTAAGGTGGCCGAGGTGGGTACGGTTGTACCTGAACTCGCCGCTCTCTTTCACGATGTCTTTAATACTTTTCAATGAAATGGCGACCTGTTAAAGATCGGTGACAACCTCTTGGAACGAACAACATACATGGTTTGTTAGTCTCATATTCACCGTGTTTCGAAAACCTTTAATCACTCACTTGTATCAAACCGTTAGAAATAGCTTCACTGTTAATTCACCGCACCTCTTTTAAGGACATAAAAGTAAATAATAAAATAAGTAAACAAAAATGTAAATAAACAAACTATATTGTCAATTGCATTGGCCAGCTGTTGTTCACTAAATTATTCAAATAGCGTTAACTCCAAAACATGCAAGGCGTAGCCCTTTGGAAATCAGCCTGTGGGGCAGAGCCCTTAGGGAGTTCGTCCATATCAATAATTTTCAGCAAATCTACACACTCTTAAGCTTCATTTTGGTATGCCATATGCCTATATTTTTATTTGGTAAATGGCCTTAACCGTTTACATAAAATTTGATTGTATCACTTTAATAATGCGTTTGATAAGCGTACCGGTAGGTGAAGTAAAAGTATTGGAGTTCATCTATTACTCTAAGTAAAACCTTCAAAAGCAGTTTTTTTCACACGTTTAATAAATATTCTTCATTATTTCCGGTTGATAAACGCTCTTGCTGAACTTTTTATGTTTTTCAAGAAAATATAGAGTGTGACATCCGTTCCAAACAGCGGTCGTCTCCTCTGTACTAAAAAAAATTGTTGATGTTCATCTTATCAAGACTCCTACCATTCAGGTATTTTCTTTTTGGGCATAAAAAGCCTTGGCTGGAAATAAAATATGACTAGCTAAAAAAGAATCGTTACTGCGGCAAGGCAATCGAGTGGCTGACCATGATGAACCATAGAGTATGCTATGTTGTAAAATAAAATAAATATCAATGAGTAGACTTCTTTATTTTCTTTGTTGCCTATATAGGCTAGTAATTAAAAATAAAATAAATATTACATTACTGGTTAATAGCAATCAAAGAAATATCTTTGTTTTTATTGATATTTGTAGTATGTCTTATTTGGTAATCTTAGGGTTTTCCGGTTAAGTAAAAATCCAATCCTAAATTCGCTAGCAACCAACGTACTCTAAAGAGTGACAAATTACTCAAAACTATACCTTTATATGTAAAACATTATCATTTTTATTATTAGAGTTAACTTTTTTTGTCAGAAGAATTATTTTTAAAACTCCCAATCATATTAAAAACGTAGTTTATTTTGTAATAATTTCCTGAACACGTTTTGATAAAACTATCCATTGTTGACTGGTTTTCAACTCTAAGTTATATTAACTTAATTAGAATTTGATTAACAATATCTCACACTTGGAGGATATGCATTTACTTCTGGTTTTTCCTCAGTGTGAGACTATGAGCTTGAGTAAGGTTAGTTTTCCTTCACTGCAATATAGGTTATATATGTCAGTCAAGTGTAGGATATGCCTGGTCGAACACAGTTTCAAGGTCGTAGCTTTGTGCTGCTACAATGATTTGTACTAGTTTTAGTCTCAAAACTTTTGTTTAGTACTAGTTACATTACAAACATCTTCATTAGTCTTCTCAACTGAAAATGTTAGCATTATTTTTAAAGTCAATTAAGCTTAGGGAAATTAGTAGGTTTAATCAATGGTGTACATAAAATGATCATGATAATAACACAATACAACATGCTGTAATGTAAAAGCCTTGACTTCATTTTGTACTGACTGGTAGGCCCTATCCAGTATTGTATTTGTTCTTAAATGTAGATTACCGGTTTACTACTAACTTTTGACAATGTCTCATTATGGGGGGCCTATACAGGGTGATTGATATAAGTGTGCCAGCCGTTTTATTCGAAAACTATAATAGATATCAAAAAAAGTTAAATGGTAAGTGCCTTGGATTTTTTATTTAAAAAATTGTGGTCAAGTCCAAAAAATTATTTTAGCCGCCATTTTTCCAATATGGCCGCCAACTTTGATTTTTCTTATGGAACACCCTGTATTTTATGATGCATTCTGGTAGAAAAAGTAATTTTAAGACGATTTTATTCTTATGATTTTTTTCATAAACCTAACCGTTTCAAAGATAATAATGGTTAAAGTTTTGAAATTTCTGCATGAGAAAGAGTTTCGATAAAGGCCTAAGCAAGCATGCCAGCTGTTTGGTTCGAAAACCATTCAAAATTTCACAACTTAAACCATTATTATCTTTGAAACGGTTAGGTTTATGAAAAAAATTACAAGAATAAAATTGTCTTAAAATTACTTTTTCTACCAGAATACATCATAAAATACAGGGTGTTCCTTAAGAAAAATCAAAGTTGGCGGCCATATTGGAAAAATGGCGGCTAAAATAATTTTTTTGACTAGACTATAATTTTTTAAATAAAAAATCCAAGGCACTTACCGTTTAACTTTTTTTGATATCTCTTATAGTTTTCGAATAAAACGGCTGGCACACTTATATCAATCACCCTGTATATTCAAGTTGTGGAATGATGATATTCGTGCAAGATATGAACATTTTTCAACACCATTTTCTTGCCAACTCATGATGTGGTCAGTAAGTATATTATATTTTAAAAAGGAAATTGTTGCACTTACCCACCCTGTCCAAATTGGCACAAATACAGAACACTTGCAGTTCTGTGCTAAAACAACTGCTTCGCCTGTTATCCTCTGGCCTTCTAACAAATTCATATCCAAATATAATAATCTCTGATCCTTTTGAGAGATAAGCAATAGTTAACTTTCTAATCGGTTCAGACTGATAACAAAAGAATCTAGAAATGAATCTCATGAATGCAACCTTTTTCAACTATAATTTCAAAGTAGATTTTCCGTCTCAATGATGTGTTGGTTGTATTATTCCACTTTAGGAAAGCTCTAAAACATAATAATAGTATGATGTGATAATCTTTGATGATTAAAATATGGTTTGATTCCTAAATAACTATTTCTTTATGGGCAAATCATTTTAATATTATTATGGGATCAAACTGGGTTCCTCATTTCAGAGTTATTCTTACGAATTATTAAATATCTACGATTAATTTTGTTCTATACATATTTACTAACCGTTTCTTACATGTTAAGTTTCTAACAGTTTTTAACTTTTGAGAAACAGTGTATAACAATCCATCCTAATTTTATATATTTATTTTTTTATGAAGTGATTTGACAAATAACCATTCTTCTCAGCTCTGAAAAATATTTTTCATGTAGTTTTTTTTATGAAGACTATAGTTTGTAAAATTATGTATTTAGTCTTACATATATTATTTAAGTTACAGTTTCCCCTTTATACAGCCATTTTGGTTTATCTAGGCACTAACTATAGACCTACACACAACACAAATGCTTTTAAATTAGTTTACAGATTACATTGGTATAACAATCAAACACCAGCAAAAATATTGATTTCAATGTTTCAATGTTGATTCGTAAATTCACTATTGTAACAGAATTATTAAGTGTAATACGTTTAATGATTGTGGTACTTTTATTTCATTGAAGAATCTAATCATTATTTAGTGCCAATAAAAAACCAATAGAGAATATGGTAAGATTTATTTAGAATATTTAGTCAGAGTCCACTTTGCGTAGGCCTAGTCATTTGTAAACAAAGATGATGTTTGGCTGCATGTTTATTACTGAGACAAGGAACGCTTCACAACAGCTGGACAGTGGCTAGAAAGAGAGGGGAGATGCTGGGAGGCTTGACCCTGCAGGTCGATGACCTTGAACAGTTTTATATCTTTTTCTATCTAATTTCACTGCAATTATCGATGGATATTTCCAATATTTGAACTACTAATTGGCTATTTTAAAACTACAAACCTATTGATAATCGTTGAAAGTTTGTTGATAGTGTTAATGCTGTAATGATTTTAACCTGCTTTACTGGCCTACTTCACTGATGTCCACTCTTTCAAATTTTATCATACAATTTGTTTACATCAAAAAAATTTTTGATCGTTGTAGAGGACTCATCGTTATTATTCATTTTTTGTCTGTTTGGATTGGATTACAAATATCTGAAACAACATAGGCCTACGTTCTGAAAAACATGATTTTGCAATATTTATAATGTGTTTATTATTATTTTTACTAGTATCATTTTTGTTGATACAGTTTTTTAAGTTTGGTATTACAGTAGGCCTATTTTAATCTCTATTATCTGCGGATTCTAAAATCAGTTAAAAATGATTATTAAGGTGTATGTTTTTATTCTGCTTTTGGCGAATTTCCATATAGGGAAGTAGCTATTACCGCAGGTGGCACGTTAAGACCTAGGCACGGGACCAATTTACTTTTTCATTTTGATGTCCCAAGAGGCCAAAAACACCATTCGTTCAAATATATCTATATAGATAATAGATATATAGATAAATATATATAGCCTATATAGTTATATACCTACAGGGTGAGTTTTATATGAGTTCCCCCCCTACCTACTTTTTTCTACATTTCTTAAGATATCAACTACGGACCA